AAACTCAAAGAAGCTTTTTATATAAATAAGATCAAACCTGAACTTAACAAACAATTACAGCACTATAACACTTTTCGAGCATTTTAGTTCACACCTTTAATTTCATGTCTGTTGTCACGCTGTAATTAGTACCCGCTTTTGTATTACATCATACTGTAAATATTTCAATCACCTACTTGTCTGTTATATAATTACTCACGTTCAGTTACTTATTGATTGAAGATGGCATAAGCATGCCGAAACATGTTTCTAAAAAAAAGTTGTATATTTCTTACCATATTTATCCTACTTGCTACTACTACGACAAAGTGGTACATAATCTAAATTTAGATGTAATTGACAAAATTCTTCGCATTTTTTTCCACCAATGTCTGATGTACAAAAAAAAGAGCAATTACTAATGATCAGGCTTCGATGCCTGCCCGTGCACGAAGAACCGATCCAAAAATACACTTTCTTTCATACTTTTTTTCAGGTTATTTTTTAACTTTAAGTTTGACGAAGTATTATCATGGGAAACACCCTTCGGCCAGAACACGTTTCCAGATTTTTCCTACTGATACTTTCTGTCATGAGCGGTCTGTTGAATCTTCCTCAAGCCACTTGCAAGACGTGTAATACTAAAACTGGTTGGTAATTATTAACATATCTGACTTTAGGGGGAAAATATTGTACCGTGTTGTTTCTTGCACTAAAGTACGGTGATCATAAAGTAGATTGATTTGTCTTTCCTAACGATGTGGTCACCGTTGAAATAGATTGTAATGTTGCTATTGCATACCCCAAGTCTCCCTCGGGCGACAAGGTCCACGAACGAGGTTCGGCTTTCATCGGTTTGCTGTTAACTGCTGTGATTGGTTGATCATTATTCTCGCTGTTTCTGTAGGTCATAATGTTCTTATTGCCTGATTAAATAATTATCTTAGCGCAATGCGATCGACATTAGCGATTTAGAGGACGAAATTTTATTATATCTGGTACTGTTTGAATTGGGAATTTTTTTCTCAAAATTATTGCGACCAAACAAAAACGCGCATTTAGCCTTATTTTTGAGTTAGAAATTGTTTTACTTAATGCATTTTATTTCCTTTCGTTCCGCTCCAGTTATACCTGAGATTAAAATCTCGTCCAGCCCACCTAACCACACGCTTGCTATTGGGGCAGCCCTTAATATGACCTGTATAGCGTGGCCGAGGTATGATGACAAGCTATTTCCCAGGAGATGGATCAAATATATTCGGTGGTATGATCCTCAGGGTAGACCAACTGGAGCCAAATGCCTGCAGGGTACACCAAGTGTGCTAAAACTACACTGTACATTAATGCTCAGAACGATAACTTCTGAACAGTTTGGAAACTACACTTGTGAGGCAGAGAATGATTATTCGGGATATTGCAGGCAAAAAACTGTCGAAATCGTTTTTCAAGGTAGGTAGCAAATCAGGAAAAAACTTTTTTTCAATATGTATCTTAACTGGCTATCTTAGGCAATACTTTCTTTGACTATAACTTTGGCCAAAAATCGTATAAAAGCAACCTTGCTTCCAAAATAAAGCTCCGTAATATTTTTTATTGTAATATCAAGCCAGAAGCCGTCTTTTCAGCTCTAAGACAATAGCAATCCTGAACAGCAACGAAGATGACTTAACGCCTCATTAGCTGCGTTCTAGTGTTCTCAGTGGTTATCTGCGTCGCTCCTTATCATATGGAGCGATAATAGTATAAATTTGTGATAGAAATTTGAATGAAAATCTTACGGGGAGGTTATAGTTATAAAAAAATCGATGTTCGTTGCCCNCCTAGCTTAATGGTTTCTATAATTGATTTCTTTGGATTATTTGATACAAAGAAAGTGAAAACATAGTCACGAGTTATTCGTGGGAGGCACAGTGGCCTGATGGTCAGCGCACTGGATTCTATTTCGAGAGGGTTCGAGACCTGGCTGGGACTATTCGTTGTGTTTTTGGGAAGAACACTTCACTCTCACAGTGCCTCTGAGAGCGCACTTAATTTGGAGCCTCGCTCTGTTGTGTGTTCTGCACCTTTCTGGTGAGAGTGATTAAGTAAGAAAGTAAATATTCGAAAATCATTCGAAAAATAGAAGGGAAACTACCGAATACGCATTTTATGAATGAATCCACACCTCTTATCTCCGGCTTGACTTCTATTGCTGTTCTTGTCTACTTGCATGCTTTCAAATGGGGTCGGCAAATAGAATACGAGTGTGACAGGAATTAAGTAGATCGGAATTTGCGTATCAGAGTTCAATCATATTTACTATTTATCATTTACATACACCGTGGCGTATGTTATTATGTTTGTGTGTCCTCTAAAGTTGCACATAATACAATAAACAGAATCCTTCCTGATCCCCTTGACAGCCTGCGTGGATCATGACCTGATTTAACGGAGATTTTTAAAGAGGCATCTTCCGACGCCTACCATTAACTTTGTTGGTTCTATCGGCTTTTCGAATAATCACTTTTAAACAACGTTTTAAGACAACTCTTAATTTCTCATCTTGTTATCCTGTGGTCAAAGCGATAACATGATTATTCGCAAATAAACTTCGACACGGGCGACTACTGAGTAAACGCAGAGATTTGCGATAATGCTAATAGGGTCGGCTACGTCAAATTCTTCCTGTTTGAGAGTTATATGTGTCAAATCGCAGTTGTTCCCCATAGTAATCGACAAGAAGCAACGCGCTTTGCTCTCACAGCCGGCAATCACAAGATGTTTTTGACACGTATTTTTGCGTATGACGCGGGGTAATTACGATTGAATATGTTGACAGTAACTTAACCCGATCGCTTGTTAAGAGTTTCTCTATACGAAGACAAGATGTGATGGTTACAATCTGTAACACAAACTTGACAGCTTTTCGGGGAGGACAGATTTACTTGTAATAATCTTAAAATTCGAGAAAAATGTCAGTGATAAGAAAGACGGGAATCTACATCAACTCGCAGCCGAGTTGAAGGAATACCCCTAAGAAGCCGCCAGTGGCTTTGAGGACTCCCATATAAATACCCTAATTATCCTGGAATTTATGAACAAAAGATGGCTTCCTACACGTA